GGGCCGGGCGGGCGGGCCCTCGTGCTCACTGGCGCCCCCAACCGCTCGGCTGCAGGACTGCGTCGTGCAGACGCCGCAGGGGCAGGACTACGCCGGCAAGTGCTACGCTGGGAAGCAGGTACCCGTGGAGCGTGGCCTGGGCCGGGCGGGTGGCCCTGGAGGCGGGGTCCAGCTCACGCACACCCTCCGCCCAGATCACCGGAGTGTCCATCCTGCGAGCCGGAGAGACCATGGAGCCGGCGCTGCGGGCCGTGTGCAAGGACGTGCGCATAGGCACCATTCTCATCCAGACCAACCCGCTCACAGGGGAGCCGGAGGTGCGCGGGGCCGGGCGCGGGGGAGCCGCCNCTCCACTACCTGCGGCTGCCCAAGGACATCAGTGACGACCACGTGATCCTCATGGACTGCACCGTGTCCACGGGCGCCGCGGCCATGATGGCAGTGCGCGTGCTCCTGGTGAGTGGACAGTGGCCCTGAGCGGCTGGGCTGGGGTGGGATCCTCCATCCTGTCCCTTCTGGTGCAGGACCACGACGTGCCTGAGGACAAGATCTTCCTGCTGTCGCTGCTCATGGCTGAGATGGGTGTTCACTCTGTGGCCTACGCGTTCCCACGCGTGAGAATCATCACCACGGCGGTGGACAAGCGCGTCAATGACCTGTTCCGCATCATCCCGGGCATCGGTGAGGCTGCCTGGGCCGGTCAGCGGGGCCTGGGGGCAGGATGGGCCTGCGTCCCCACCGCAGGGTCTGCTGCTTTCTCCAGGGAACTTCGGGGACCGCTACTTCGGGACTGACGCCGCCCCCGACGGCAGCGACGAGGAGGAGGCGGCCTCCGCGAGTTAGCCAGCGCCCAGCCCTCCGCACGCCTCCCCAGCCGGCCTCCTGCCTCCTGGCCGTGCTTCCGGAGTACAGACGTTAATTTACTCTAATTTGAAGAAACGTGTTATCGCCCCAGCCAGTGTGCTCATTGGTTAGAGCGTCGGCCCCTGCACCAGAGGACAGAGGGTGCAGTTCCCTGGCGGGGTGGGAGGCAGCCAGGCCCTGTGTCTCACGTTGATGTTTCTCTCTTTCTCTCTCCCTCCCTGTCTTTCCACTCTCTCTAAAAAAAATCAATGGAAAAAATATCCTCTGGTGAGGATTAACAATAACAAAAAGTGTTACCAGTATAACTTATTCCATATGTTTTATAAAATAAAGTTTTAGGGGAAAAATAAAGTTTGGTCTAGCCCATATCGCTCAGTGGTTGAGCGTGGACCAATGAACCAGGAGGTCACGGTTCGATTCCCAGTCAGGGCACATGCCCAGGTTGCGGGCTGGTTCCTCAGTAGGGAGCGTGCAGGAGGCAGCCAATCGATGTTTCTCCCTTTCCCTTCCTCTCTCTGAAATCAATAAAAACATTTTTTTAAAAAATGAAGTTCTGACCAATAAGCTGGGGGCCTGAGAATGCTGTTCTGCTTGGGGACCTGGGCCAGGGATGCCAGCTGCTTCAGTCCCAGAGCTGCAAGGCCAGCATGGAGAGAGATGGAGTCTGGGGACCTGTCCTCTGCTGCGTCCTGGTCAGAGCCCTGCTTTCTCCCCACAGAACAGGCTTTCTTTCCCATCAGGCTCAGTGCCAGATTTAGGAGAGGGAAGAGCTGGGGCCCCTGGCTCTGCCAGATGGGCCCCTTGGTGGCCACCTAGCCTGGACTGGGTCTCACAGAGGCAGCCTGCAGGCACTCCCCCTGCCCCCACCACATGTTTGTACTGTCAGGAGGCCCAGCGGAAACGTGTGTGGGCAGCTGTAGGAAGTAGTGATGAGCTCGTCCCGGCCACTGGTAGGATCCCCAGTTGCAGAAGAGGTGGCCAGACCCTCAGTGGGTCAGCTATGCCCTTTGCTTTGTCCAGCCTGCCTTCACTGATCCTGGGCTCCAAGGTGAGGGCAGGCTTCTTGGGTCCCTTGCAGCTGGTCTGCAGCAGGCCTGCCTGGGTGAGGGTGCACGATACGGATGTCTGGGCTGCTGCAGGTGGGCTGTCAGGCTGCTCAGGCTCCTTCCTCCCCCTCCAGCCCTGGCTCTGGCCTCTTTTCCTGTCCTGGTCTCTTTGGTCCTCCCACCCCCCACAAAGGCCATGTAATGGAAAAGCTTGTTGTGGGGCGGAGACAGGAAGTCACTGGGTGGGGGCCAGGCCAAGGGCAGGCAGATAAAGGAGGGAGGCTTGTCCAAGGGGTGGCCAGGCACCAAGGACAGAGGACCAACACAGGGCCCAAAGGTCAGCAGGAGGAGCTTTTCCCCAACCTGGTGAGTGCTTCCCTCTCCCATGTCTCCAAGCCCCTCCCCCCCCATTCATTCATTCATTCACTCATTCTTGTGCTATGTGCTGGGAACCTGAAGGCTGCAGGAGGCCCTGGCCCTGCTTACGAAATGTGACAGGGTCATGAGGTGGGGAGGATGCCATTCTGTCAAGCCAGGTCTTCCCAGATGAGGACTGGGGCGAGCAGTTAAAAAGTAGCTGGGCAGGGGTAGGTCATTTGTGGTAGGGCCCCTCAGAGTCCGGCTAGGGGCTGACCAGCTCCCAGAAAGCAAACTTTCCACACATGCACGTGCCAACACCACCACAAACATCTCGTGCAGCAGCAGAGCATGTCCACAGACATGCATGCACGTGTGTGCCAGGAGGAGAGGGCCAGCTGCCCCCACCCCACTCAGCCACCAGCCCCTGCGGGAAGACAGTCTCCCCTCTCTTCTTGAGGGTCAGTGGGAGCCTGTCTCCTCCAGCTGGGGTCCCCTCATCAGAAGCAGCTCAGGGAGGAGGCCAATTCACAGGTAAGGGGACTTGGGCCCATTTCCTGCCAGGGCCCCATGGGGTGGTGGAAGTGGGTCACCTTCCAAACAGTCATTGGGGAGGGTCTCTGGGGGCCAATGGGAGGAGGGGCAATTCCTCTGGCCCCTGAGAGCCTCCCAGTCCCAGGATCCAAGGTCTAAGATTGTCCTGGGAACAGCACTCAATGCAGCTGCTGGACACATCAGGAGGGTACAGCTTGAGAAGACTCAGTGGTGCTCTCAGGGATGGATGAACCCACCCCCAGGAGACACCCACCCCCAGGAAGACCGATTGGGGGTTGGGAGCCAGGTTGCCCTTCAGCTGCCTTTCTGGGCACCTGAGCTCCTCTCACCTGGAGGAGGGAAGAGAGCTGTGAGGGGGTTGCATCCTGGACATATCTGCAGAACCTGGTAGGGGACAGTTGGGAGGGATGCAGACCTGAAGCCACTCCCTGAACTTGTCCAGAAGCTGGACAAGGACACTCAGGTTGAGTGTCCTTGGAGAGAAACCTGCCTGCTGAGGGCTCTGCTAGCAGCCCCTGGGCAGTGCCTCCAGGACTGCCCAACCTGAGAATGGTGTCTCCAGGGTCAATCTCAGGTTCGTCAGCCTGTGAGGTGCTGCCCCTTCCCCAGCAGCGTCTGCTACAGGGCGAGGAAGCCTGGGGTACCCCATTCCGGGCCAGGGGATGGGGCCCAGACCCTGCATTAGGCACATATGGTTGTCACGCTGACTCGGCAGGTCACATGTGCCCACATGTTGTCAGCGGTAGGGTCTGGAGGGTTGGTAGGGCCTCATGGTTCCTTAGCTGGTATACCTGAAGTCAGGAAGCATCCTGCAAGACGCCTGGGTTCCTGAGCGCCGGACCTGGTGCAGCCCCAAGGGCATCAGGGGGAGTCCTGGGAGAGGACCTTTTGCTCTGGTCTCTGGGTCAGGCCTTAGGCTGTAGACTGGGAGGAGGGGGGTGTTCAGGCTCTCCAAGGTCAAGCTGAGAGTTTGGGGGGAGCAGGAGGGGAGGGTGCACAGGATTCAGAGGGGAGAGGTGGTGAAGCAGGGAGTAGTGGGTGGATTTGGCTGTGCTTAGAAGGGCGAGGATAGGTCAATTCCCACACAGGGTTTGTGATCCAGTCTGTGACTGCCACAGGATGGGGCCTGAGGAGGAGCTAGGCTGGGAGCAATGGCCAGTGCAGGGGTGACACGCCCGCTGGGGCAAATGCTAGGTAGGTGGGCCCCTAGCATTTGGGTCCCTTTGCGCATCCGCTCACCAATTTGCTTCCAGCTGGGGGCTAAGAACCACCCGGTGCCACGTGGCTGGGCGTGGGGCTGGCTCTGGCTCTGACCTTTACTGGATCCCCCAGTCCCAGTGGGCGGAGTGTCAGCCACCGAGACAGCCAGGGGACGTGCATCTGGACGGAGAGGGGCCCTTGTCCTGGCGTGGAGGCAGTGCCTCAGACACTCCTGAAGCTCCGGGTGATCAGCAGCTGAACAGGGGAGCCCAGCAGGGTTTGTCCCTCTGAATCGGGGCTGCCCTCCTCCGCTCATCCACTTGGAGGCGGGGGCGGGGGCGGCCAGGCGGG